CATTCCTCTCCCCTCCTCTCCCCTTGTCTTTCCTCCTTCCTCCTTCCTCCTCCTTCCTCCTCCTTCCTCCTCCTTCCTCCTCCTTCCTCCTCCTTCCTTCTTCCTTTTTCCTTCTTTTCCTTTTCTTTTTTCCTTCTTCCTTTTCTCTTCTTTTCCTTTCCTTCCTTCCTCCTTTCCTTCCTTTCCTCCTTTCCTTCCTTCCGCCTCCTTCCTCTTCCTCCTTCCTCCTTCCTCCTTCCTCCTCCTTTCCTCCTTCCTCCTCCTTCCTCCTTCCTCCTTCCTCCTCCTTCCTCCTTCCTCCTCCTTCCTCCTCCTTCCTCCTTCCTCCTCCTTCCTCCTTCCTCCTTCCTCCTTCCTTCCTCCTTCCTCCTTCCTCCTGATATTAGCTATTATATTGATTGTGTCCTTTTTGTTTATGTAAGACCACATGTTTGTCAGGCCGTGTTTGTCATGGCGGGGCCACTAGCGCAATTTGAATGGTTAGGCCCTCTCCAGAATGATGAAAGTGGTCGACCATGAAACTCAGGATTGAAGGTGAATATCGCAGGCCTTTTCCTCAGCCAACAGCGCTTGCGAATGACGAGCATGCTTCCACATTCAATTCACGGATCTTCAAGGTTCATTTTCTCTCCAAACTGGGAAACTTAGGTCCACCCTGCGTTGCCTATTCCAAGATGGGAAAGCGGTTGGGAGAAGATGATGACTCTTTCGCCGCCCATGAAAGCCATTACGAGATGATAGATGATGATGAAGAAGAATTTGATGTGGCACTCATAGAGAATGTTCCAGAGTACACAGAAGAGACAATCAAAAAACGACTCAAACCTCACAAATGGGGAATGGTCTCCGAGGTTTTAGATCCCAGGCTCTTCGGCCAAAGAGCGTCGAGGCCGCGTCGCTATTTCATCTGCTGGCGCCGCAGCAGGGTGGAATGGGATGCCCCCTTTTCCATGCAGGAGGTTCTTTTGGCATTAAGGACGTGCCCTACCATGGACCCCTTGAAATACTTTTGGAAGAGATTGCCACCTTCAGTCCTCTCAGCTAGCCAGGAGCTTCTCACCCGAACTTGTCCAAAACATGTTTTTTCTCAACAAACGAGGGTGGCTATATTTGACAAGAGAACCCTGGAGGAAAGAAATCGGTCTGACTATGATTCAGAGAAGCGGTTCGTGGATCTGCAGCAATTTGTTCGAAATGGTCGTGGCCGTGCCGAAACAAGGGATGGGTCCTTGCCGACTTTGACAACAAACTCAGGATCTCTGTACTCGCAGGACATTGTGGGGACCAAGGGGTTGGGCGGCTACCTTGTTTTGGCGGATTTGCTTTGATGGGTTGGTTGCCAAAATCACCTAAGCCCCCAAAACTTCATAATGAGATCAACCAGATATTCCGTCCCCTTTCATGTTCAATCGCACCACTATTCCATGGCAGATTAGCGTGGCAGACAATAGCATGCACTATAATTAGGATGTCAAGCGCGTCCCCTCTACAAGCCACACTTAAAATCAAAACGAAGGGGGCTGACATGAACATGCAGGAGCTCCAAAGGAAGATCCACCCACACGAGTCCTTGGGAACTCACCTGCTGCCAACTACTCGTTCACAAAGTGACTTGTGTGGCGGTGTGAAGCTTGAGTTAAGGAAAGCCAAGGTGTCTGACACCTCTGTTTACACCATGGCAGGGAACAGTATGAATTTGCCCTGCATGGGCGCTGTAATCATGACTGCTGTTCTTTGCCTCAGGCCCAAGCAATGAACATGTGGACCCGTGTCAGCTAGTACAACATGTTGGTATTGTATGTTTCTTGGTTTTTAACGCGTAGAAGCTTGGGAAACTTCGCTCAGCTGCACTGCTCTACAATGGAGCACCCGCATGGTTTTTTGCAATATACCCAATTAGAAGACGTGACCTTGGGAGGCCAAATCATCTATGATTCCGGCTATGGTGTTTCCAAAATAATTGCTTCATTGTCTGTGGTTGCTAACCATGTTTTTTTTCGATGCCTCACCGATGCTGCGAAGAGTACATTACTTGAAATGGTTTGCCACTGAGCGACTTCTCCAATTCTTGGTGAGTCGAAAAAAGTGGCTGATTAACTCCAGTGGCTCCATGGCTGAGGGCAATGCTCATGGGGCCAAAACACAGCTGTATCCTCCTCAGGATTTGGCCCTAGGCAAGGTTTCCAGGTTTTGGCAATCAGTACCAATGCCGAAGAGAAGCCCACCTTCGACAAGTGGGGGCAGGGCACCGAAAGCTTCCAAGCCTGCGTTGGGCCCATGGACGGACATGATCATGGATGCCATTGGGTAGGGGTCTGAGTGAAAGGGGTGTTTCCTCAGTTCCTTATCCTTGCCTAACCACACTTTTCAAAACAATTGTGCAATGACTGGTAATTTTGGTGAATCAGAAAATCTGGCGAAATTCAAGCACCACATGTCTCTCAGGACCTTCGACCCAATGAAAGACCAAAACCCAGTCAAGTTTCTAGTGGACCAGCTG